ATGTATTTATTTTTAAAAAATATTTATTTATTTTATGTATATGAGTGTATTGTCTGCATGTATGTGAGTGCACCTATGTCATGCAATGCCACAGAGGTCAGAAGAAGGCTTCAGATTCCCCTGGAACTGGAGTTAACAATGGTTTGTAGCCACCATGTGGGTACTGGGAATTGAATCCAGGTCCTCTGCAAGAGCAGTCAGTGCTCTTAACTGCTGAGCCATCTCTCCAGCCCCTCCTTCGTGTATTTAAGTGCACCACACTTGCATAATAGCCATGGAGGGAAGAAGAGGACATCAGATCCCCTGATACTGGAGTTATAGGCGGTTGTTAGTTGCCACGTGGGTGCTGGGAACTGAAACTGGGTCCTCTGTAAGAGCAGCCAGGGCTCTTAACTGCTGAACCATATCTCCAACCCTCAAGGGTATATTTTCATATATTATAAAAATTATTATTTGTGTGTGTGTGTGTGTGTGTGTGTGTGTGTGTGTGTTCTGACTTGCCACAGTATACATATGGAGGTCAAAGGACAAGTTGTGAGAGTTGGTTCTCTCCTTTTAACGTGTGAGTTCTGAGGATCAAAATCAGGCTATCAAGTGCTTTTACCCACTAAGCCAACTTGGTGACACATGTTCAAGCTTTAGCTGTGTTGAGAGGGTCCTGGGGATTGAACCCAGGTCCTTGTGCATGCTAGACAAGCACTCTACCACTGAGCTTCAACCCCAGACCTGATCCAAGGACTTTTACTGCCTCATCACAGGGACAAACTCCGGGAATTCCTGGTATTGTCCATCAGTGGGATAAGAATTGGCTAAACTGTCATAGAATCACTATGAATTGATTGTGCAACTACTGAAAACAGTTATGTGTATGTGCCTTGACCAGTAAGTGAAAATGAGAGCAAGTTATAGAGTACTGGAAAGTCTCCTGTGCAAGTGACACTGCCCCCTACAGGACATGCTGGAGATTCATTCACTGAAATAAATATCTCTTAAATTATTTCTGAGAACACACTAATGAAATAGCTCTTATTAATTAAGTTCCTCAGAGACCAAAGCTTACCAAACTCAGGAGCTAATACACGTTCCTCATTCTCTTGAAACTCTGAAAACATGTGGCACTTTTCCCATCTCTGTGTGTGTTGGGGCAGAGGGGAACTGACTGTAGCCTGTAGCCTAGGGTAGCCTGGAACTTTCTAAATAGCAGAGGATGATTTTGAACTCCTGATCTCCTGCCTCTACCTCCCAGATATTCACAACTTCACTTGATTTATGTGATGCTGGGGATCAAACCCAGGGTTTTGTATGTTAGGCAAGTTCTCTTCCAACTGAGCTGTATCCATCTCCTTGAGGTCTCCAGGAAAGGACACCAATTTTTTTCCTCCTGTCTGCCTGGCTTCCGAGTCCCTTAAGATTGCATCTCTTGGCTCAGTGGTAGAAGTCACCTCTGCCTATTGAAGTCCTCCTGAGGCTCCTAGAGCCTCTCTGGTCACTTGGCAACTCCTACCACCATCAAATGCTCAGTCCCATTTGGCCCTCTCTGTTACATGGAAGTGTGGCAATCAGTCTCTCCCATCCATACTCTTCACTAAATTGCAGAAAACGTGAATTTGTTCCTCCCATCTGAGTTCCGAAAGCAAAGTTTGGCTTTTTTTTTTTTTTTTTTTTTTTTTTTTTTTTTTTTTTTTTTTTTTTGAGGCAGGGTCTCTCTGTTGCCCCAGCAGCTGGCCTGGAACTCACTATATTGACCAGGTTGGCACTGACCTCACAGAGATTCACCTTCCTCTACTGGGATTAAAGGTGTACACCACCATGCTTGGCCTGAAGTTTGGCTTTATATCTGGACTTCTTTAAAGTTCTTCTGCTTCCATTAGTAGTGCTGCATCTGAGGCCACCTACCATTTCACTATGGCAATGGCTTTCCAACTGATCTCCCAGCTCTCCCTCCTCATCTACTCTCCATCCAGCAGCTAGGGTGTATTTCATTTTTATGTTTTTTTTAATTCTATTTATTTTTTGGGTTTTTTTTTTTTTTTTTTTTTGTCCTTTTGAAACAGGGTCTCCCTGTAGCCCGAGCTGTCCTGGAACTCACTATGTAGACCAGGCTGGCCTTGAACTCACAAAGATCCGCCTGCCTCTGCCTCCCAAGTGCTGGGATTAAAGGTGTGCGCCACCACGCCCGGCAATAAAATATATTTTTTTTAAAGTACAATATGGGCTACTGTGAGAAGTGAGATGCATTCCTGGCACCTCTCTCCCCCTACCCAATTGTGTGTCTGGTTTGACTTTTCCGACTGAGAGCTGAGAGGCCTGTGGACTTGTATGTGTGTAGGTGATATCAGGTCGTAGAACTGCAGTATGTGTATATGTGTCCTCATGATGTCTTGGCAATAGAGTTTGGGGGGGGGATTATAATGCATTTTTTCATTTATTTTGTTTTGTGTGTGTGTGTGTGTGTGTGTGTATGTGTGTGTATGTGCATGTGGAGGTCAGAGGATAATTGATAAGAGTCTGCTCCCACCCTCCATCACGTGGGTCGCAGGGCTCCAAGTCAGATTATCAGGCTTTACGCACTGAGCCATCTCGCCATACCCATAATTAATTATTTCAGGACAAGATCTCATGAATTCCAGACCAGTTTTGAACTTGTATGTAGCTGAATTTGACTTTGAATTCCTGAACCTCTTGCCTAAACCTCTTTCATAACTTGAGCCACCAAATGTGGTTTATGTGGTGATAGAACCCAGGACCTCTTGTAGGCAAGCATTCTACCAACTGAGAGAACTTGATATGTAGAACAGGCTGGCCTGGAACTCTCAGAGATCTGCCTGCCTCTGCCTCCATTTATATTTTCTGTGTATGAGTGTTTTGCCTGCATGTAATTGCACCCAAGTGTGCAGTGTCCATGGAGGCCAGAAAAGGGTATCAGATCCCCTGGAATTGGAGTTATGGATGGTTCTTAGCTGTCATATGGGTAATGGAAACCAAACCCAGGTCCTCTGCAAAAGCAGCCAGTGCTCTAGACCCCTGAGCCATCTCTCCAGCCCCATAAATGATTATTTATTATATTGTCTTTTTGAGACAGGGTCTCCCTGTAGCCCCAGCTGTCCTGGAACTCACTATGTAGACCAGGCTGGCCTCGAACTCACAGAGATCCGCCTGCCTCTGCTTCCCAAGTGCTGGGATTAAAGGCATGTGCCACCACGCCCAGCCATTTATTTGTATTTTATATGCATGAGTGTTTTGCCTGCATGTATGTAGGTGGACCACAAGCTTATAGTGCCCACAGAGGCCAGAAGAGGGCATCAAATCCCCCGGAACTGGAGTGACAGATGGTTGTTAGCTGCTATGTGGGTGCTGGGAACTGAACCTAGGTCCTCTGCAAGAGCAGTCAGTTCTCTTAACCCCTGAGCTCTCTCCAACCTGTTCTTGTTATTCTAAGACAGTCTTATGTAGCCCAGATTGGCTTAAGATCAATTTGTAGACAAGGATGACCTTTAATTTCTAATCTTTTGCCTCCACCTCCCAAGTGATGGGATTACAGATGTGAGCCACCATGCCAAGCTAGGACTGGGATTTTTTTTTTATGTTTTACATTAGCATATACTGATTATACATAATGTATTTAATAATTTTTTTGGTCTTTTTGAGGCAGGGTCTCCCTGTAGCCCCAGCTGTCCTGGAACTCAGTATGTAGACCAAGCTGGCCTTGAACTCACAGAGATCCACCTGCTTCTGCCTCCCGAGTGTAATAATGTTTTTTTTTTTAATATTTTATTTGCCAGGCGTGGTGGTGCACGTCTTTAATCCCAGCACTTGGGAGGCAGAGGCAGGCGGATCTCGGTGAGTTCGAGGCCAGCCTGGTCTACATAGTGAGTTCCAGGACAGCTGGGGCTACAAGGAGGCCCTGTCTCAAAAAAGACACACACACACACACACACACAAAAAAAAAACTTTATTTATTTATTTTTATTTTATGTGTATGTGTGTATTGCCTGCATGTAGTTACCTAAGTGCACCCCTGTCGTGCAATGCCAGCGGAAGACAGAAGAGGCTGCCAGATCCTCTGGAACTGGAGTTATGGACAGCTGTTAGCTGCCATGTGGGTGCTGGGATTTGAACCCGGGTCTTCTGCAAGAAAAGTCAGTGTTCTTAACCGCTGAGCCATCTCTCCAGCCCCGTAATAATGTATTTTGATCATATTCACAGCCCTTGATCTCTTGTCTCCCTTCCTTCCTCTTCCCCACTAGCTCCCTCATACCCCCAGCCCCTTTTAGCAATGGAACTCAAGTGAGCGTCTAGCTGGGAGGAGCTGGGGCTCGAACTGGGGGAAAAGGAAGATGGTGATTGAAGGCAAGGGCCTGAAATAATAGAACTACTGCACCTGGGCTACAGCTCCTGGCAGCAAAAACAGTCATTCCTGGGGCTGGAGAGCTAGCTCGGGGGTTAAGAGCACTGGCTGTTCTTGCAGAGGACTCAGATTCGGTTTCCAGCACCCACATTAACAATCTGTAACTCCTTTTCCAGGGGATCTGACACCCTCTTCTGGCTTCCACGAACACTGCATGCATGCGTATGGTGCACTTACAGACATGCAGGCAAAACACATAAAATAAAAATAAATAAAAACTACATTTAAAAAAAAAACCACCACCACCACAGCCATTCCTGAGAACTTGAACAGAAGCAGCGTGGACACATGCATAGTAACAGACTCAAGTAACGCGCATGCGTTGCCGCAATTAGCCGTAATGCATGCGCATTACAGCTCTGCTGCTTTGAAGGCTCTGAAATGAATCAGGCCTGTGCAGAGCAGACAGTTGAAGGAGGCAGCGCTTACTCACTCACCCAGTAGCTCTGCTGAGGGAGTGGGCGGGGCATCAAAGGTGTGTAGTTCTACTTCCGTTAGGGACCGGAAGTTGATGTTTCCCTGGTGAGCTGGTCTTCGCGGCGCGGCAGAGGTAGTGCACGTAAGCGTGGAGTCTCGTCCCTTGGTGTTGGGCTCGGGTAGGACCGGCCGGGCGGAGCCGGGCGCTGTTCTCCTCTAGATCACCCGGCGTCCGTGCAGTAGACGCGGGGAGCCATGGCTCCGGGGATGGCCGAATGTGAAGTTTGAGCGGCCCAGACCCCTGCACCCCTCGCGCCGCCCCGGCATTCCACAGTGAGCCGGTCGGCATCGCTCCCAAGACGCCCTAGTCACGGTTGGACACCCAGGGGCTGCTGCTGCCTCAGCAAGCTGGAGCTCGTTGGGGTGGTGTGTGCTGGGGTCGCTGGGTGAGGTGGGGTTTCCGGCCCACTCACGGACTCCTTAGGAAACTCATTGAGTCATTCAACAAGTAGTCATTTAGTGCTTAAGGTGTAGCAGATTATACGCTATGGGTGCTGGGAATTGAGTAATAAACATGTGAAATCTTTTGTCGGAGATGGATGGGCAGGGCTGAAGATGCTGGAGGTGACAGCGAATTTTTGTTTTCTATTTGTGTGTCTTTGTGTGTGTGGGCATGGAGGTCAGAAGATAACTTGCTAGAGTCGGTTTGAATTATTTTTGTGTTTGTGTCTTTGCGTTGATATGCAAATCAGAGGGATAACTTGCTAGAGTCAGTTTGAATAATTTTTGTATTTGTGGGGGGGAGCATGGAGGTCAAAGGATAACGATAGAGTCGATTCAAATTTACTTTGTGTGTGTGTGTGTGTGTGTGTGTGTGTGTGTGTGTCTTTGTATGTGTGGGCGTGGAAATCAGAAGACAACTTGGTAGAGTCGGTTCTCTTCCACCGTGTGAGTTCAGGGACTTGAACTCAGTTGGTTAGGCTTGGCAGCAAGCACCTTTTTTATTTTTTTAAGAAAAATATTGGCCGGGCATGGTGGCACATGCCTTTAATCCTGGAACTTGGGAGGCAGAGGCAGGCAGATCTCTGTGAGATTGGGGCCAGCCTGGTCTCCACAGTGTGTCAGCTAGGGCTGCAGGGAAACCCTGACTCAAAAAAAAAATTTTTTTTTTTTTGCCAAACTTCTTATTTGTTCGTTTCTTGCATTTGAAGTATTCCTCGATGACATCCTTGGCCTGAGATTCTTTGCCATAGTCCTTAACCACTACACAACTGCAGCCAAGTACTTTCCAGGGCTTCAGGCCTACACATTCCCCTAGCTTCTTGTCATCAACCTTAATCAGATTGATTTGGTGCTCAGCACAAAGGGCTTATTTTTGTTTTATGTGTGTGAGTGTATTGCCTGTATGTATGTAGTACACCTGTGTTGTGCAGTGCCTTCAGAGGCCAGAAGAGGGTGTCAGATCCTTCTGGAACTAGAGCTTCACATGATTTTTAGCTGCCGTGCCGGTGCTGGAAACTGCACTCAGGTCCTCTGCAAGAGCAGTCAGTGCTCTTAACCACTGAGCCATCTCTCCAGCCCCAAGCACCTTAAATTTTTTTTTCTTTAATTTTATGTGTATGAGTGTTCTGCCTGCATAAATGTTAAGTGAGTGTGCAGTGCCCTCAGAGGCCAGAAGAAGGTGTCAGATTCTGCTGGAATTGGAGCTGCCAACCATTGTAAGCTGTCATGTGGCTGCTGAACTGAACGTGGGTCCTCTACAAGAGCAGCCAGTGCTCTTAACCTCTGAGCCAGCTCTTTGGTATTATTATTGTATGTGTAGCGTGTGTGTAGGTCGGTAGGTCAGAGGACAACTTAGGGAGTCTGTTCTGTTCACTCCTTCCCCCTTTATAACAACTGCGGTTGTCAGACTTGGCAGCAAGTGCCTTTACCTGCTGAGACACATCTCACCAACCTTTTATTTTGGATTGTTTTTGTTTTTGTTTTTTTGTCTTTTTGTGACAGGGTCTCCCTGTAGCCCCAGCTGGCCTGGAACTCTCTATGTAGACCATGTAGACCAGGCTGGCCTTGGGCTCACAGAGATCCACCTGCCTCTGCGTCCCCAGTGTGGCCACCTGTTTTGGATTTTTTGAGGCTGGGGCAACATAAGTAGCCCAAGTTGGCCTGGGGAAGGTAGGGTGATGAGAGACTTGTATTTAAGAGTCCTGGATGCCGGGGCTGGAGAGATGGCTCAACAGTTAAAAGCACATCCTGCTTTTCCAGAGCTCCTATTTCCCAGCACCCACATTTCAACTAACACCTATCCTTAACTCCAGTTCCAGGGCTTTCAACACCCTCTTCTGGCCTCCCCAGACAACAGGCACACACATGACACATTTATGTACCTGCAAGCAAAACACTCATACACATCAATTTTTTAAAAAAATAGAGTCAAGTGACTGGTTGCCAGGACCAAGCTTGGGAGAGGCAAACACTGCTGCCTACGCAAGAGACAGAATGGGCTTCTGGCATATGTCCAGTGTTTTCCTGTGTTGCATCTCATACCATTATTCTGATTGCCTCGCCCCCCGCCCCCCCCCCGGGGGGGCTGCAGCCAGATTCTGTCTGATGTTAAACAACAAAACCCTTCCTCTGCCTCAGGTCCTTTACATATATCAGGTCTCTCCCTTGATGTCCTGGTATCCAAGCTGCCTTCTGTCATTCAGGCCTCATCCTAAATGACACTCCCAGAAAAGACCCTTCCCAGTCTCCTCTTATCAAGAAGTAGCTGTGCCTTTGAAACTCGGATTTAACGTTAATAAGCTCCTAGCAGTTAGCAGTGTGTAGAGTTCCTTGTTAAGGGACTGTCATCTCTAGATGGCTGCATCTGTAGTAGGGTTTATCAAAGCTTTTGCAGTTTGCTCCTTCTCTCATTCATTCAGTAAATATTGAGTGCCAGCTCTGTGCCGTGAGCAGAGCAGTTCTAGACTCTAGGGAGACAGGAAAGACAAATGTGTGCCCTGTGGAACCTTCTTGGAAGCTCTCAGACACCCCCAGAGTTGCTGGAAGAGCAACTAAGAGGCTGAAGTGAATGTACTTTGTTTTGTTTTGGATTTTTGGGACGGAGTCTCGCTAAGTACGGTGCAGGCTGGCCTTCAACTCATGGTGATCCTCCTGCTTCAACCTCCCAAGTACTGGAGTTACATGCTGAACCACTGTGCCCAGCTTGGTCATTTTGTTTCGTTTTGCGGTTTTGTTTTTGTAATACACTATAGCTCAGGCTGGCCCCAAACTTGTAGCACTCTTCCCACTGCGGCCTCTTTGTGCTGGTACTACAGGTGTGGGTCATTGCAGCTGGCTCCTAGTCCCTAACTGAATCAAGAGAGAAGCACTAGGTGGGCATGACAGCCCTTAGAGCCTTACGCACGCTGGGCAAGTACTTTGCAGGGTTTCACTAGGTTGCCCAGGGTGGCCTTTAACTTGCTCCATTGCCCAACCTGGTCTCCACCTTTCAGTCATCCCATCTGCTGGGGTCACAGGTATGGGCTGACAAAATGACCTTGGCTTGTTTTTGATCTCCAGCTTCCTGCTTCAGCCTCCTGGATTGCTAGCGCTGCAGGCGTGTACCACCGCTGGCCTTTTTCTTTGTTTTCTTTTTTAAATGAGACAAGAGATAATAAGTGTCTTAGTGATCCGTGAGACCAGAAAATTTGATGTTATTGAAGGGAAAGGGACCCGGGGCAGAGTGAATGGATTGTTTCTTGTAGGAAATAGGCATCCGTAGTGAAAGAGAAAGTCAACCAGGTAAGCCTGAGAGCTCTCCTGTTGCTTCTTTATTTTAAAAACTGGCATTTAGCCAGGCATGGCAGTGCAAGCCTTTAATCCCAGCACTTGGGAGGCAGAGGCAGGCAGATCTCTGTAAGTTCAAGGTCAGCCTGGTCTGCATGGTGAGTTCTAAGTTCAAGGTCAGCCTGGTCTGCATGGTGAGTTCCAGGCCAGCTGGGGCTACAGGGAGACCCTGTCTCAAAAACACCAAAAAACTAACTGGCATTTATTTTTTTGTCTAAAGTGTAGAGGTCAGAGGACAACCTGTAGGAGTCATTTCTCTCCTATTTTATGGGTCTTAGGGATCAAACTCTGGTTATCAGATACAGCAGCAAGCACATTTACCCACTCGGCCATCTTGCCAGGCCTCCCCCTCCTCTTTTTTTGAGACAGGTGGGGTTTTTTGGGTTTTTTTTTGTTGTTTTTTTTTTTTTTTGAAAATCCTAACAAGTTTATTGGGCTGCAAACAGAGCATAGGTAGGGGTTTCTTTATAGCCTAGTGGTCCCCCACCCCCCATTTATGGCTGCTCTGGAAAGTCCACACTCAAATATAGATCCTGTGACTTCGAGACAGCCGCACAAAATGTCTCATAATGTTCTGGGCTTATATATCCTTAACACCCCCTCCCTCCCCCGCATTGAGACAGGTACTTATTTAGCCTAGGCGGGCCTTGAACTTTAATCCTCCAGAATGATGAAAGGGGGAGGAGGTCGACAGCCAGAGGGTTGTTGAGAGTCTAAGGTCAGCCTGGGCTGCACAGTGAGTTCTGGACAGTTTGGGCTATAGTCAGAGCCTGTCTCAAAAAAAGTTGGGTCTGGGCTCGCACCGTTGTTAAGAGCACTAGCTTCTCTTGAAGAGACCCAGTTTTGGTTCCCTGAACTCACATGGTGGCTAACAACTGTAACTCCAGTTACAGGGGAATCCAACACCCTCTTCTAATCTCTGTGGGCATTGCACTTGTAGTGCACTTACATACATGCAGGCACAGCACTCATACACATAAAATAAAAATAAGACTTTTTAAAAAGAAGCTTAGGGAAGGAAGGGTTTATTTTAGCACCCAGTTCAATGTTCTGGCCCATTACTGGGGATGTTACAGTTGACAGGAACTTGAAGGATCTGGTCACATGTCTGCAGTCAGGAAGCAGAGAGCAGTGAATGTACTTTTTTATGCTGTCTAGGACCCCAGCTCAAGGGATGGTACTGCCCTCCTTTATGGTGGGTCCTCCCATCTCTGTTAACCTAGCCAAGATAACCCCCTCACCAGCAGGCCCAGAAGCTCCCAGGTGATTCTAGACTCCATTAAATTGATAATCAATATTGAGCAGGACAATATCAGATGGAAAGCCAAGTATGGTAGTGCACGCCTATAGCCCCAACACTGGAAACCAGCACCCTCTGCTTCATAGGGAGCATAGGTCTTCCCCTCCCCCATGGGACTCTGTTGGCGGAATCCAGAGCATGCAGTTAGAGGACCAGCAGCTTCTGACCCCCATCTTCTTCCACCCCACAGACTCATCACCCTGCTGCCATGGGACGCAGGAAGTCCAAACGGAAGCCGCCCCCCAAGAAGAAGATGACAGGCACCCTGGAGACCCAGTTCACTTGTCCCTTCTGCAATCATGAGAAGTCTTGTGATGTGAAAATGTGAGTGGGGGTAGGGCTGCTCTACCTCCTTGGGCACCCAGACCTCTCTGTCCCGCTTGCCCACCATGGACCTCCCTGCTGGTGGAGTTGGCCCTGCAAGCTCAAGGCTCCTTTTTCATGTGTCCCTCCACCTTGTCCCATTGCAGGGACCGAGCTCGAAACACTGGAGTCATCTCCTGTACCGTGTGCCTAGAGGAATTCCAAACACCCATCACGTGTATCCTTGGAAAATTATTTGATCTCTTGAACGTGAGAGAAGGGGTTGGGAGCTGGGGCTGCCCTGGCCTGTCAAGGGCACTCAGTCAAGGAGCTGCTGTTCCTTACTGCTGCTCTGGCCCTGGTCAGGTGGCCAGATGTGGCATCACTGCTACCCACAAGAATGGCACTGCCTTCTGACTGACACTGAGTGACAAGGTGCAGGGGAGGGGTTCATTGCTACAGATGGCCCTTGACCTGAGTGTTTCAGATCTGTCAGAACCAGTGGATGTGTACAGCGATTGGATAGATGCCTGTGAGGCAGCCAATCAGTAGCAATGTTGAGGACCCGCCCCCTCAGCAGCCCCCCCACCTGCTGTGGACCCAGCCTGCTGACTACTGAACCAGAGACATTCCAGAACTCCAGGGTGCGGGTCCAGGGCTGGGACAGCCCTTTGTGTGTGTGGAGTAGGCGTGAGTGAATGGGTGTGAGTGGCCAAATGTGGCTGCATATGGCTATGCTTAAAGGTGGGGTGGAAGTGAGGGCCTGCTAGGTCTCACCATGTAGCCTACAATGGCCTCAAAACTCCAGAACCTTCCGCCTCACATGCTCCAGAAGCCTTTGGGCTGTTCCTTTCTCCAGCTCTCCCCATACCCCTAAGCTTTGGGGTCCTGGCTTCTCTGGGGACAGTGTCCTGACATCCAAGGCAAGGGATAGCTGCGGAAGCTCTTGAACCTTCTTGGCCACCTCACCAGCACCTTGTCCTCAGGAATGGAACTTCCTGCCTTCTAAGCCTCCTGATATTTGTACCTTGGGAGTCAGGGCTGCTGGCCCCCATGTCCCTTGGTTGGACTTTACGATGGAGCTAACTCCCAGTGCTAGCACGGGCACCCCATTTCCTGTTCATTTGCCTTCCTAGAAGTAAGGGCAGGATCAGGGACAGCTGTCACTCACAAGCCTGTCAATAAAGCAACCTGTATGAACTGGCTATCTGTGCTTTCTTGAGTTACGAAGCAGCCCCAGTGCCAGAAGGGGAGGTGGAATTTGGGCTGAGGCATTTGGGGGGCATCTGGTGGCCCTGTAAGGTGGGGTTTGATCAGTTCTTCAAACTTTTGTTGTCTTTGGGGGTAAGTTTCATGCACACCAGGCTGATCTTGAATTTGTTATGTCTGAGAGTGGCCTTGAACTCCTGTTCTCAAGTGTTGGAATGACAGCACTACACACCACGCCTAGTTTATAACGGTGCTGGGGTGCTGGAGATGGAACTCGGGGCTTCGTGCCTGCTAGGCAAGCACTCTATTAGCTGAGCTATAGCTCCTGCCCTTAGTGGTAGTTTTTTGTTTTAACTTTTTTACATTTTATTTATTGGGTTGTAGGCATGTATATATGTGTGGAGTCAGAGGAAAACTTGCAAGAGTTCTCTCCTACCATGTGGGTCCTAGAGATCAAACTTAGGCTGTCAGGCTTGGAAGCAGGCATCTTTACTCACTGAGCCATCATCCCAACCCCATGGTGGTAGTTTTTGAGGCAGAGTCTCACTGGGCAGCTCAGGGCAGCCTCAAATTCATCCCAAGTGCCAGAATTACAGGTGTACGCCACCACGCCCAGCCTGTTTAGTGTCTTACTTCAGTATCAGGGTACTTGGGCAATGTTGGGCACACAGGACAGCAGTGAGCCACACAGATAACTGTCCAGGTGTTTGCAACAATCACAGTGTAAATAATGTGGAGGGCTGGGAGATGGCTTAGTCAGTAAAATGTCACACTAACAGAATCGTAGCTTAGTCATCAGAATCCATGTGAAAAAGCCAGGCATGGTGGTTTGCATTTGTAATCCCAGTGCTGAGGAGGTGGAGACAGGCTGACCTGGCCATTGAGAGACCCTGTGTCAAAACTCAGCGTGGGGCTGATAAGATGTTTCCGCTAGTTATCCCTGCAGAGCAAGCCTGATGACCTACATTCAATCCCCAGGATTCATATTGTGGAAGGAGAGAAAGTTGTCCTCAGACCTCATGTTCACGCCTGCACACAATCTGAATAGTAGTTAAAAAGTGCATCCAGGACCAGGCTCGGTGGTGCATGCCCGTAATCCCAGCACTGGGGAAGCAGAAGTAGGCAAATCTCTGTGAGTGTGAGACAGCCTGGCCTACATAGTTCCAGGCCAGCCAGGGCTCTATAGGGAGGTGAAGAGCTGGCTCAGCAGTTAAGAGCACTGGCTGTTCTTGCAGAGGACCCCGGTTTGGTTCTCAGCACCTACATGGCATCTAACTACTATCCTTAACTCCAGTTCCAGTGAGTCTGACACCCTCTTCTGGCCTCCGTGGGCATTGTACATAATAGGTGCACTTAAATAAATGCATGTAGGCAAAACACTCGTACACCTGAAATAATAAAGGTTGGAGAAATGGCTCAGTGGTTAAGAGCCATGACTGCTCTTCCAGAGGATCTGGGTTGGATCCCTAACACCCACATGGTGGCTAACAACCGTCCATAACTACAGTTCCGAGGGCTCCAGCATTCTCTTCATCCCCTGGGGGCAATGCACGACACAGGTGCACTTACATAAATGTAGACAGCACTCACATTTGAAAAAAAAAAAAAGATGTCTCAGCCACCTTGGCTAGTAAAGATGTCTGCTGTACTAAGTAAAAAAAAAAAAATCTTAATATAGAAGGTGAGCTAGGCGTCATGGTACACATCTTTAATCCTAGCACTCAGGAGGCAGAGGTGGGCAGATCTCTGTGAGACTGAGGCCAACCTGGTCTATGTAGCGAATTCCAGGTCTCAAAAGACAAAAAAATAAAATGCCACAGGTAGACAACAGCTGAGAAGCCACACACAGGTTGACCTGTAGCTTCCATGTTGCTGTCCACACATGTACACCCACATGGATACACACGCAAACATAAAGAAGCGAGACTGCCCTTAGGACTTGCCTTGTCCTGACAGCTACCCTGTGAGGCAAATGCAAAGATAGCCCCAGGTTGTTGGCGTAAGTCCCTGAAGCCTTAAAGGCGCAGCTGAGACAACTCAGGAAACCTAGCTTCACAGCCCACCCCTAATTTCTTGTAAGTGCATGGTCTAGGTTGAGGGAACAGCTCCCAGCAGTCCTGAGGATTTTGAGCCACTGGAGAATAATGGTCACAAAAGGGGCATATTTCCAAGGACAGGCACCTTGTGGCTTCCTGTCCCGTCAGAGGTCTAGAGTCACAGCCAAATGGCATGGGCAGACTCAGCTTGTCCTCATCAGCCTGGCCAGTGACTTGTGATTTGAGTTCCTCCATGGAATGGTAGAAGAAACTTCTAGGGAGGCAGAGATGAAGCAGTAGGTTGGGTCTGCAGCATCTACATCTGTCACCCCAACTCTAAGGGAGTGGAGACAGGCAGATCTCTGGAGGTTATAGGCCAGACACCCTAACCAAATCCGTGTGCTCTGGGTTCAGGGAAAGGCCCTGTTTCCAGAATTAAGGTAGAGAGCTATCAGTGAAGATGCCTAATGTCAACTTTTGCCCTCCACATGCTCACACGTTTACCCACGTACACGTGCCCAAACATCTACATACACAAAAGAAATGGAACCATGCTGAGTAAATGGGTGGCAGAGCCCAGGATTAAGTGGCTCTGAGGCTACTTGAGGCCAGTGATGGGTGTGAACAGCCAAGCAAAGTTCTGAGCTGGTCAGGAAGTTGTAGCCACCAGGCTAGGCTTCAGGATCTGGTGCATGTCCTGAGACCACACTTCTATAGCATGCCCCTTGGGATACCAAGGCCTCAGGTGAGGTCCTTTAACCTTAGCAAGAGTCAAAGAGGCCCCAGGCAACATGGTGGATAGATACAACATGGGTGTATCCACAGGCCCCGGGGAAAGGGGGAACCACTTACTAACACCCAGAAGCCCCCCCCCATTTCCTGCCCAAGCCTGTATAGACAGCCCAAGTGCTAATATGGTGTGTTTTGCCAGGGAGGCAGAACCCTGAGCTGAGCTTCCATCCTCAGCACAGCTTCCCTGGGACAGGCAACTGATCTTGTCACCAAGCCAAGAGTGTCTGGAATCCAGTTTACAAGGTCCCAGGAACTCTTATGTGTCTGTGCTTGTGAAACTTCTGGTGTGTGTCCTCATGTTCTAGGCTTAACCTGTCCTGGGAGTGATAGGGTGTGGGAGCCTGCTCTGGGTCGCCCTCCCATTTCTCTGCATTCTCCTTGGAGCTGTGACTGGCAGGCTGGTGGCTTTCAACCAGGGCCCTCAGCAAGAGAACAGATTGAGGTATCAGAGCTCTATTGAGACTCAGGATCCTTGGCCACACCTGCGACTCTCCTTAGACTCAGTTATCTTTTCTCTTTTTTTTTCTTTTGTATTTTTTTGGGGGGGTGTTTTGTTTTGGTTTGAGGGTCTGTCTTTATAGCCTAGGCTGGCCTCATTTTTTTTAAACAGCATTTCCCTCTAGCTCCAGCTCACTATGTAGACCAGGATGGCCTCCATCTCACAGACCTCTGCCTGCCTCTGCCTCCTTTGTGCTGGGATTAAAGATGTGAGCTACCACATCTACCTGACATTTTATTTTATGTGTGTGTTTTGCCTGCATGTATGTAAGTGCACCACATGTATGCAGTGCCTGTGGAGGCCAGAAGAAGGCATCAAATTCCCCTGGAACTAGAGTTACAGACACGTTGTTACCTGCCATGTGGGTGCTAGGAACTGAACCTGGGTCCTCTGCAAGAGCAGCCAGTGCTCTTAACCACTGGGCAATCTCTCCAACTTCAGTTTTTTTTTTTGTTTTGTTTTTGTGTGTATGTCTGTGGGCACACATGTGCCTTGACATGCATGTGTGGTGGTCAGAGGAACTTGGGTAAGTCAGTTCTTTCCTTCCACCACATGAGACCCCAGGATTAAACTCAGGTTGTCAGATTTGGTGACAAGCACCTTTACCCACCGAGATATCTCACCAATATGAGATTCGATTCTAATAAGAGAACCCTGCTGAGCACAATCCAGACATACAGAGGCAGCCATGCCCCAAGGTTAGCCACTCAATTGCCTGCCGACTAGTCAGTAGGAAACATTACCCTGGCCCCACAGTACCAGCCCATGCCACTTCCTCACAATCTGAGGCTCAAGGGCTCACCTTGCATAAAGAGACCCCCTCTCCAGAATCCTCCCACACATTTTGTTTAAATTTATATGGACTTTGCTTTGGGTGGGGGGGGCATATGTACCATGGAGTATTTGTGGAGATCAAAGGACAGCTTTCAGGAGTGGGTTCTCTTTCCACCATGTGGAATCCCAGGGATCAAGCTCAGGTGGTGAAGCTTGGCAGCAAGCACCTTTACCTGCTGAACCATCTCGCCAACCCTTTGCATGTGTTTCTTGGGGCCCCTGTGTGGGGAGATTGATGGAGGCTAGCTGAACAGGTTTCTAGACAGCAGATCCCTGAGACCTCAGATGATGTCACAGCCTTTTATTGTGCTCCAGTGAAATAGAAAAAGAAAGTGCTCGCATTACAAACACCGCTGTCACATCGCATTCACCAGTCGCTGCAAAACCAAACCACTTATGTTGCTGCGATTCCAGGCATGCATTTTGCTCCCACTGCGGGAATGGGGTGGGGTCAGGCTGAGTCTGAGTTCTGGGGGCTTCGCTTGGGGGGTTTCTGATTCTGGGGTTACCCACTCGTGAGGGAGTAAAGGGGGGCAGCTGGAATAGCTTTACTCAGTGCGTCCTTTGGGTGCTGTTGGGGACACCCAGTTCTGGGTTGGGGCCTGCAGAGCTACAGGGATGAGGGGTCCCTTTCTCCCTACAGGGCTCCCCTCTCAGTCTGCTCTCCCCAAACTGAAACACTATAGGCAGGTGCCAGGGGGCTGGGGGCATGCCATGCAGGGGATAGGGTTGGCTGGGTCCAGCTGGGTCCAGCCAAGAGCAGCAGCCAGCCCCCCTGGGAGCCCCTAGGCAGAGTTGTAGTAGTTGTGTGGGTGGTGGTTATGGGTGGGCTCACCCAGCTCGGGGTACTCAGGTGTCAGGCAGTACTTGGGGTCGTACACCTGACGGGGTAGCCCGTACACCGTCATGCCCCTCTGCGAGGCCCCCTTGTTGCTCCCCATCTGCAAACTGACATTGAGTGTGTCACAGTGCTCCATGCCCAGTCCTGGCTCAAAGATCTGCCGCTTGGTACCTGGTGCTGTCATGCCAGCCTGCGGAGGGAACAGGGGTCAAGCCACAGGGACACTGGGGTCCAGGCCCTTCCAGGTGTCCAGCTCCCCCTCCCCCACTAACCTGGCTGGCACCCTTGTTGGTCCCCATCTGCAGGCTGATGGTGGCCTGGTCCAGGGGCTGATCAGTGCCAAGTTTGGGGTCGTAGAGGTGACGCCGTGTGCCATAGGCAGTCATGCCCTGCTGACTGGCAAACTTGTTGGTGCCCATCTAGGAAAGAATCAATGAGGACTACAGAGGAGCACATGAGCCACAAGACAAGTGTGCTGTCAGAGCAGGAGGCCAGAAACACTCAAAAGTGGCCCACACCTTTAGTACCAGCACTCCAGAGGCAGAGGCAGGTGGGTATCTGTGAGATGAAGGCCAGCCAGGGCTATATATTGAGACCCTGTCAAAAAAAAAAGAATGGGGCTATTACATGACCAAGCTCATGGGTTAAAGGTTTAGCTTGCCACTTCTCAGTGGGGATGCAGGGGGAGGACTCTGGCTAAAGAGAACTACAGCCAAGTGTGGTGACCCACAGCTATAATCCCAGCATTTGGTGGGTCAAGGTAGAAAGATCAGAAATTCAAGGGCAGGACCTGCAAGATGCCTGAACAGTTCAGGTTCATTGCCTCTAAACCTGATGACCTGAGTTCATCCACAGGATCCACATGGTGGAAAGAGAACTAACTCCTGAAAGTTGATCTTTTTTTAAATATTTTATTATTTTTATTTTACGTGTATGTGTGTATTGCCTACATGTGTGTAAGTGCACCCGTGTTGTGCAATGCCCGAGGTCAGAAGAGGGCATCAGATCCCCTGGAACTAGAGTTACAGACAGTTGTTAGCTGCCATGTGGGTGCAGGGATTCAAACCCAGGTCTTCTGCAAGAACATTCAGTGTTCTTAACCAATGAACCATCTCTCCAGCCCTGAAAGTTGATCTTTGACCTCCACTTATGTGCCACAGTATGCTCATACCCCACTCCACCCCTCTCTCCAAACACATATGCACATAAAATGTAATAAATTTTCTTGAAAAAGTTCAAGGCTGGCTGGGCATAGTGGTGCCAGTCCCAGCACATTGGAGGCAAATGAATCTCTGTGAGATGGAGGCCAGCCTTGTCTACATAGCTAGCTCTAAGACAGCTAGGGCTACAGAGAGACCTTGTCTCAAAAACCCAAAAAATTTAAAATAAAAAAGGAGCTGGGGCTGAAGAGATGGGTCAGTGGTTAACAGCACTGGCTGCTCTTGCAGAGGTCCTGGGTTCAGTTCCCAGCACTCATATGGCCACTAACAACCATCTGTAACTCCAGTTCCAGGGGATCTGAGGCCCTCTTCTGCCTCCATGGGCATTGCATACACAATGGTGTACTTACATACATGCAGGTAAACACTCATACACATAAAGTAAAAATAAAGCTGGGTGTTGTGGCACACGTCTTTAATCCCAGCACTCAGGAAGCAGAGGCAGGCAGATCTCTCTGAGTTCAAGGCCAGCCTGGTCTACATAGTGAGTTCCAGGCCAGCTGGGGCTATAGGGAGACCCTGTCTCAAAAAAGACCAAAAACAATAAATAAATCTTTAAAAATGTCTGGTGAAAAACCAGACCTACCCCTAGGCCTATGGGCAGAGGGAGCAAGTTAGTGAGTGGAAAATGCTGACCAATGTGCCTGGCCAGCAGGAAACAAATGCAGTGTTCTGGAAGCCTCCAGGGCCAGGACTGCCCTCCTTGACCTCCCACTCAGCCCCTAATTGAGGCCTGTACCTGCAACCCAATGATGTTCCGACCTTCTCTCAGCTTCTCTGGCTCAAATTTCCGCTCTTGCTTCTCTGCATACTTGACCCCCACGTTGACCTTGTTTCCTTTTGTCTTGGCCTGAGGGGGACAAAGAGGACAGGAGCCCACAGGGGAGCCTGTAGCAGGCCATGCTGTATTGTCCCCTCAGATACTTAGCACCTGCCTGCTCCTGGTGGGGCACAGTGGCCCATGTCCAGTGCCCATCCAACCTCAAGTCATCCCCCAGCCCCTGCCTAATGCCTTTCCTGTGCCCACACTCACCATGCTAGCCAGAGCTAGGAGAGTAGACTGCACCTGTGTGTGGTTGGTGTTCTCAAACAGGTCATTGGCCTCAAAGATGTCATGGGGCTTCAGGCCATACTTAGTAATGGCTTTGATGAAGTTACCAATGTTCTCCAGCTGCAGGGAAGCAGGCAGTGTCAGAGAAGGGAGTCAGGAGGGCTGAGGGGCTGGTGGGGTAAGGAATGGAAAAATATTGGGAAACCCCAGAAATACCTGTAACTCTAGCTCCAATGGCTCTAGTGCCCCCTTCTGGCCTCCAAAAGCCCTGGTGCATACAGGGCACACACACACACACACACACACACACACACACACTAGAAATAAATCTTTAAGAATTAAATAAGGGGGCCGGGCGTGGTGGCACATGCCTTTAGCCCAGCAACTTGGGAGGCAAAGGCAGGCAGATCTCTCTGTGAGTTCGAGGTCAGCCTGGTCTACATAGTGAGTTCCAGGCCAGCAGGGGCTACGGGGAGACCCTGTCTCAAAATGACCAAAAAAAAAAAAAAGAATTAATTAAATAAGGGGAACTGGAGTGATGACTCAGAGATTAAGAGCAGTGATTGTTCTTGCAGAGAACCTAGGTTTGGTTCCCAGCACCCTCGTGGTGGCTAACAACTGTAAGTCCAGTTCCAGGGGATCTGAGGGTAATGCATGACATGGGTTCACTTATACACGTGCAGGCAATACACTGATACACATAAAATAAAAATAATAAAATATTGCCGGGCGTGGTGGTGCACGCCTTTAATCCCAGCACTCAGGAGGCAGAGGCAGGCGGATCTTTGTGAGTTCGAGGCCAGCCTGGTCTACATAGTGAGCTCCAGGACAGCTGGGGCTACAGGGAGACCCTGTCTCAAAAAAGACAATAATAATAATAATAATAATATTTTTTAATTAGGGGGCTAGAGAGATGACTCAGCAGTTAAGAGCACTGACTGCTCTTGCAGAGGACCTTGGTTTGATTCCCACCACCCACATGGAGGCTAATGACCATCTGTAACTCCAGTTCCAGGGGATCTGATGCCTTCTTCTGACCTCTTCAGGCATTGCACAACATGGGTACACTCATATGCTTGCAGGCAATACACTCATACACATAAAAATAATAAATCATTTTGAAATTAAATAAATTGGTGCACTTACATGCCAGCAAAACACTAACATAAAATAAAAATAATTTAATTAATTGATAGCCAAGCACAGTGGCACAGGTCTGTCTTTCTGGCTTCTTGGAAGGCTGAGACGGGAGGATCGTAAATTCCAGATCCACCTGGGCAACTTAATGAGATCCTATCTCAAAATAAAAAGTAAGGGCTGAGAAGATGGCTTAGTAGGGAAAAAGTACCTACTATGCAAGTGTCAGGACCTTAGTTTGAGTCTCCAGAACCCAAGTAAAAACCACACACACAGTCTGTAGCCCTAGGGCTCTTATGTGGGAAATGGGAGGTGGGGATAAGAGACAGCTAGCCTGTTTTTCACGGGAAAAACAACAAAGAGACCCAAGGTGAAAGGGGACCTAGACCAGAAGTTGTCCTCTGACTGCCACAAGGGGGAGCCTTTGATAAAAACCAATGGTGGCTGGATGGATGGCTCAGCTGGAAAGAGCACTGGCTGCTCTTGCAGAGGACCTGGGTTTGGATCCCAGCATCTAGTGGCATGGATCCCAGCATCTAGTGGCAGCTAACAACTGTCTGTAACTCCAGTTTCAGAGTATCCTACACCCTCTTCTGGTCTCTGAGGGCCGCAGACACCCATACAGTGCACATATATATGCAGGCAAAACACTCATATTCATGCCGGGTGTGGTGGCACACGCCTTTAATCCCAGCACTCAGAAGGCAGAGGCAGGCAGATCTCTGTGAGTTCAAGGCCAGCCTGGTCTACATAGTGAGTTCCAGGACATCTGGGGCTACAGGGAGACCTTGTCTCAAAAAGATCAAAACAAACAAACAAACAAACAAACAAAAAACAAAAAAGAAAACCTCACATTCACATTTAAAAAATCAGTAAATCTTAAAAAGAAAAAAAAATGTAGCTAGTGGGGTTGGGGGAATGGCTCTACTATAGAACGCCAGCCTAGACTCCCCTATTGAGCCCCTTCCTAGAACCCCTCAGTGAGGGGCTGTGGGTGTGGCTCAGTGGTAGAGCACCTACCTAGAATCCCCTGGTGAAGGGCTGGCTAGGCAGTAGAGCTCCAGCCTAGCATATGCGAGGCCCTGGGTTCAACCCCCATTACTGAAAAGAGAAATATATATAAATTGTGTCTGTGCTTACCTGATGCCAATTTTGTGTTGACTCATTCACTTTTTTCACAGATCCCGGCTGGAGTTTGTTGATGAATCTAACAGAGAGAAGGGGGAGTAGGAAAGTTGAGCCCCAGCTTCCATCTAACCTAGACGAGGTGGCTAGGTGAGAGTAGGGAGGGTGATACTATTGTACCCAGCACATACAACCAGGGGCCAGCGAGACCCAGGTGATCCTTGTATCAAGTCAAATGTCCTGGCTTTCCTATGGCCTTATTGATGGTCATATCCTAGTGTATTTATTTATTTGGGGGTGTGTCAGAGGACAACGTTTGGGAGTCTGTTTTTCCTTTCCACCATGTGGGTTCTGGGGATGGAACTTGGGTCCTAAGGCTTGGAGGCAAGCACCTTTACTCACTGTGCCATCTCATGGACCCCCCACTTGGCTTTTCTTGATGACACTTAATTGCCACTTCAAGGATGTATCTAACTACTTTTTGTTGTTGTTAGTATTACTGGGGATGGAACCAGGGCTTCTTGCATACCAGCCTGGCAAGTGCTCTAACTGAGCTATACCCCCAGCCCTGGCTTGGCAGTCAGGTCTGAGCTGGCTCTTAAATGTGAGACTGTCCCCAGATTCTTGTTTCTGGTGAATGGAGAGGTATCAAGACAAGCACCCCCACCTCTACCTCATAGCATCTTGAACTTGGGAAGGCTACAGTTGCAGTTGTGCCTGCATCTCTGCCAAACTTTTCAAGAGCAAGCTGTGACTCTTGCGGTCAGGCTCAAAAATGCATGCCGGACTCAGGACCATGCCCAGTGTTAGGTGGAAGTGGGTTTTAGGGGTCTGATGTCATACACCTATAGTCTCAGCACTGGGGAGACAGAGGCAGGCAGATCTTTGTGAGTTCAAGGTCAGCCTGATCTATAGCGAGTTCTAGGTCAGCTGGGGCTACTGGAACAAAACAAACAAACAACAAAAAAACAAAAACTTAAAAAATAAGTAAAGGAGACATGCCTCAGGAGTGAAGAGCACTGGCTGCTCTTGCACAGGACCCAGATTCGGTTCCCAGCACCCACACTGATGGGTTGTCGGATCCGCTGGAACTGGAGTTACGGCCAGTTGTTAGCTGCCATATGGATGCTGGGATTCGAACCCAGGTCTTCTGCAAGAACAGCCAGTGTCCTTGACTGCTGAGCCATCTCTCCAGTCCAGAAATAAGGTCTTCTGCAAGAACAGCCAGTGTTCTTGACTGCTGAGCCATCTCTCCAGTCCAGAAATAATTTTTTTTTTAAATAAAGAAAAAAGTGGGGCTGGAGAGATGGCTCAGCAGTTAAGGACACTGGCTGTTCTTGCAGAAGACCCAGGTTCGAATCCCGGCACTCACATGGCAGCTAACAACTGTCCGAAACTCCAGTTCCAGGGTTCTGATAGCCTCTTCTGTCCCCCGCTAACGGTCATTTGTTGCTTCCTGGTTCAGAGTTTCTGTTGGCAGTAAAGAAAACTTTTGAAGCAGTCATGATGGTTGCACAACGTGGTGAATGTAATTAATGCACCTTTTGATGTCTTAAATGGGGAAGCTTATGTTTTATATGTACATAACATATATATCTTCACATGTATGGGTCCTATTATATACATATACATACATATTTTTTTTTTACTCAAAAAAGAGAAACTCTCTAACATTACATATTCTTTTTGTTGTTGGTGGGGTCTTTTTGAGACAGGGTCTCCCTGTAGCTCCAGCTGGCCTGGAATCCATTATATAGACTGGGCTGCCCTTGAGCTCTCACAGAGATCCGCCTGCCTCGGCCTCCTGAGTGCTGGGATTAAAGGCGTGTGCCATCACGCCCAGCTTCGCCCCCTTTTTAAAAAATAGATTTATTGCCGGCAGGAAGATCTCTGTGAGTTCAAGGCCTGCCTGGTCTACATAGTGAGTTCCAGGACAGCTGGGGCTACAGGGAGACCCTGTCTCAAAAAGACCAAAAAAAAAAAAAAAAAGATTTATTTATTGAGCCAGTGAGGTGGCTCAGTGGATAAAGACCTTCCTGCCAAGCCCTTGATGGAAGGAGAGAGCCAACCCTTAAATAAATGGCTGGAGAGATGGATCAGCAGCTAAGGGTACTGACTGCTTTTGCAGAGAACCCATGCTCAAGTCCCAGCACCCACAAGGCAGCTAACAAACTTCTAACTCCAGTTCCAGGGAATCTGATGCCACGTACTGACCTCTTCCAGCACTGCATGACACAGATGCACTTACGTACTTGCAGGCAAAACACTCATACACATAAAATAAAAATAACTGCAGGGAGACCCTGTCTCAAAAAGACCAAATAATAATAATAATAAAATAAAAGTAAATAAAAATTTAAAAAATAAAATATTTTTTACGCCAGGCGTGGTGGCATACACCTTTAATTCCAGCACTTGGGAGGCAGAGGCTGGCAGGTCTTTGTGAGTTCCAGGCCAGCCTGGGGCTACAGGGAGACCCTGTCTCAAAAAGACCAAAATAAAATAAAATAAAATAAATATTTTTAAATAAATAATAAAAAACTTAAACTTTTATTGTGTATGTGTCTGGGTGTGTGTGTGCCTGTTTACGAATCTGGAGGACAGAAGACGGCACTGGGTATCTCCTCTGTCACTACTCACTCACCCCTTTGAGGCAGGGTCTCAGAACCTGGAGCTGGTGTCTTGCTGGAAGCAGCAAGTCTCAGTGAGCCTCCTATTTGCTCTTCACCATGCTCTAAGCTGGGGTTACATGTATCTGCATAGATGCCCAGCCTATGATGTGCTTGCTGGATTCTGAACTCCGGTCCTCATGATTGTGGAACAAGCAAGTAGTCTTAATTGCTGAGCCATCTCCCTAGCCATATTGTTATGGGTTTTTGTTTTGGTTTATGAGACAGGATCTCATGTAGCCCAGGCCTCCAACATGATGTGCTTTTGTTTTGCTGTTGTTTGAGACAGGGTCTCCCCTGTGCCCCAGCTGGCCTGGAACTCAGTATATAGACTAGACTGGCCTTGATCTCCAAAGATCCACTTGCCTCTGCCTCCTGAGTGCTGGGATTAAAGGCGTGCACCACCATATTCAGCTCAAGGTTTTTAAAAAATGTCTGAGTGTTTTGCATGCATGTATGTAAGTGCCCCAGATGTGTGCAATGCCAGCAGAGGCAGAAAGAGGGTGTCAGACTCCCTGGAACTGGAGTTACAGATGGTTGTGAACCACCATCTAGGTGCTAGGAACTGAATCTGAGTCCTCTGCAAGAGCAGCTGTGCTCTTAACCACTGAGCCAGCTCTCCAGCCCCTTCTTGTTTTTACAGTCTTTCAGGCCAGCTGGGGCTACAGGAAGACCCTGTCTCAAAAAGACCAAAAATTATTTAATTAAAATAGGGTCTTATTATGTAGCCCAGGTGACCTGGAACTCCAGATCCTTCTGCCTCAGCCTCTCCAGTGCTGGGATTACAGGCATACAGGAAGCCACCAACCATATCCAGGTCCTGTGAGAATTTTCATTTCAGTGCTGGATGAGGTTCTGAGGGTAATGGGAAGCCAGGATCTCTATAAATTACCATGACAAGTGCTCAGTGTCACCAAAGCTGATGATAAACAGTCTTAAGCTGGACCCTGGAGACCACAGACAGGCCTACCCTGCAGAGCATTCTGGGTATGTAAAGTCCTGGAATTCTTTCCGTTGTAACTCCTCAGGACCTTCGATACTGCAGTTTTAACCTAACTGAGCCTGTTTTCTCTGCCTGTGAAATGGGCACAAGTATTTGCTACCTTTCCAAGAATGTTTGGAAGGATCAGATATCAAGTGTTTAACTCCAGCTCCAGGCTTGGGGGGTGGTCATCTGAGGAGGTTAAGGGGCTCTGTGGAGCAGGGTGCTGAGATTAGGGACAGCAGTCTGCACCCTGAGAGCCTCACTCACTCGCAAAGGATGATCCCATCTTTGAGGCCGTCCATGAAGTTGTTGCCAATGCGGCGACCCGTCACCCCCTCGATCCACTCTCTCAGCTCCTGCTCCCGCTGGTGGTCGTACTTCTGGGCCAGCTGGAGTTGGGGGGATGCAGGGTGGGTGATGAGGACAGGCCATAGAGAGCAGCTTTGGGTTCTTGGGGCCCATCCCAGCCCTACTAGGCCTGATCTCCCATCCCAACTAAGGAAATCCTGTCCAGTGTCCAGGGTAGGGGGTGGGACTTAGGGGGAGGCTGAGGGCCAGGACTGAGGTGGCACCTGCCCAGGGGACCATTCCAGGCATTCTGAGGTTTGGCACCAATGAATAGGCAGGGCGGGGGGGGGGGCAGCATGGAGAGCAAGAGTCTTGGAGCTGGGGGGTGGCACTTGGCCTCTTGGTTTCCCCTTCAAGCCAAACTTGGGGCTTAGCTTCCCCTGGTCCAGCCCCCCTCCACAGTCTTGTTGGAAGATGAGGTGACAAGCTGGGAGTAGGGAGGAACCCTAAAAAGGAACCCCTGGGTGCTGGCTTGCAAGGGACACTGCTTTTACAATGTCTCTGTCTCAATGTGGCCACAGGTCATAGCACTCACACACAACACAAACACACACACACACACACACACACACACACACACACACACACAGTCTGTAATTAGAAGTGGAGGCCTACCTTGCCTCCCTCCTAACTCCTGCCTGTCTGTATGTCTTTAGGTCTGTCCTCAACCTCCCTTCGTCTCTCCCTTCATCGCCCCAACTCTGTCTAGTCTCCTTTACCTAATCTCTAGGTAACCATGTCTGGTGACCAGTCCCCTGTCTAGCCAGCCTGAAGCTCATGGCTTCCTTAGCTCAGCTTCCTAGTGGGAAGAGAGGTCCTAGCGATCTGATCCCATCTTCCCTGCGTGGGGAGAATCATCATCTGCAATCTCTTCTCTCCATCTCTTGGCTCTTATCTCCTTCCTGGCTGGCCCTCTCCCAGCTGTCTCTCCTATGCCTCCCTCCTTCGTGTTCTATCTAGAATCCTCCAGGGTAGCCAGCCTCCAAGCCCCTGGGGGGGTAGGGGATTGCCCCTTCTACTGGATCAGGAGAGATGTAAGCAGCCCCTCACCTGGCCCCAGCCCTGCTGCCCCCCTTCTCACCAGCCCTGCTTTATAAAGCAAACCGGCCCTAATATAGAGCGGCCGGACTCCCAAGGCCGCCTTATATGGCTTGGCGGCTCCACTGTGACTCCCGGGCTGGCGCTGGGGGAGGGGGCCGGCACTGTCATCAGTCTCCCACAGAGCACCCGCCTCCCACCCACCCCCAACTCCAGCTTCAAGGATCCCCCAACCCAATCCAGGTCCCAATTCTTGCTCATCACTCCCTACCCCCCTCTGCTGTGGGACCCAGGCGAGAGTCATGGTATGCCTCAGTTTACCCTTCTGTCAAATGGGGCTGCCGTCCTTCTCCTCCCCTGACATCGCTCTTGGGAGCATTTGCGTGGGGACCGCATCCCAGTGCGGAGACGGTCCAGCACAGCAGTTGCCTTACCTGGCGCCCTAACTCCTTGCATTTCCTTTCTGAGCCTCAATTTACCCATCCATAGCAGCAAGATACTGGCCCAATGTCTTCCTAGCTCTGTAGTTAGTATCTGATACACATTCACTGCTGTCCCTAACAATCTGCCTTTCCTGATCTCCTCACTCCATTCCCCTCTCTGGAGCTTCAGATCTCAAGTGCTCTCAATTTAGGGGTGGGGGGTGTCAGGCAAGGGTCTAGGAGGACAAAATCACTTCCTCCCTACATCCCTTCCAGGAGCACAGAAGTTTGAGGAGGAAGTCTGAGCAGATGAGCATCTGTGCTGTTCCCTGATTACATTTATGTATGGATAACCGCATCCCCTCACTTCACTCCTCTAAGTAGCTGAGAGCTCTGAGATGCCCCGAAGGACAGAATGACAGCCTCAACCCTAGACCCTTTTCTCCTCTCAGGTTCAAAGTCACAACATAAGCAGGAGGGGGGTTCAAGGAACGTCAAGAGTGGGATGCCCGGCCTAGCAGGGTTTTGGGGGGGGGCAAGCTAAGTAGTCCCTCCAGCCTTACCTTGTTCTTGACCTCAGCAGACAGACCATATGCCGGACCTCGGTTAAAATGAGCCGAAGACATGCTGACCACAGATCACAACCAACGCGAGGGGCTGGTGACCCTGACAACGAAGACTGGGCAGCTGAGTCTCTGTCTGCACCCTCTTCCCTCCTCACGCAGTTTTGAAGCTGTAGAGGCCAGCCAGGGTCTCTCCCAGGGCTGTCCCATTGGCTGCAGGGGCCTGCCAAGGGGTGTGGCACCCCACACACTTTGGCCACCCCCACCTCGTGATGTCAGGGCCTTGGTATTGGGAGCTGATTGTGTCATTGTTTCCAAGTAGGGGGCTGCCTGCCTTATTCTGGGAGGGGGGCTTTCGAAACCACACAGGCTAGCTCTCTCCCCCCCTCCCCCCACACAAACTATGACCCATATCTGAGTCTCTTTATCTCAGAGGTCACCTGCCTCTGTCCCTCTCCAATCCCGAGGCAGGACTGTTTCCCCTGGTTTACCAGCCTCACCTTAATCAATTTCTCTCTCCTCTCTGGGCCTCTATGCTAGCATCTATAAAATGTGCTAATAATTTGGCTTGCCTGCTGAAGGTGTTATAAAGGTTAGAAAAAAATATTGCTAGCCAGGTGTGGTGGCGCACGCCTTTAATCCCAGCACTTGGGAGGCAGAGGCAGGTGGATCTCTGTGAGTTCAAAGCCAACCTGGTCTACATAGTGAGTTCCAGTATAGCTGGGGCTACAGTTGGGAAGCTGAAGCAGGAGGACTACTGAGGGTTCCAGGTCAACCTGGGCTACAGAGTAAATTCCTGCACCACCTACGATACAAAACGAGTCTCTCTCTACTCCCCCTGTGTCTCTCTCTATCTCTGTCTCTGTCACACACAAACACACACACACAATTAGGGCTGGGCTTGATGGTACCTGCCTTTAATCCCAGTACTCAGGAGGCAGAGTCAGGCGGATCTCTGTAAGTTTGAGGCTAGCCTGTGACAGAGTTAGTTGAAAAAGGGGTAAGAGACGGCTCAGCAAGTGTTTGCCCCCAAGCCTGACGACAAGGGTCTGAACCCCAAGACTCACATAGAAGGATAAAGCCAACTCCTACAAGTTTTCCTCTGACTTCCATGACACACACTCACGTATGGGCGTGTGCGTGTACACACACACACACACAATAAATAAATAAATTAAATAAACAAATGTAATAAAATTTTTGCACTGGTGATAGTAGGAATGTAGGTCAGTGGGTAGAGTGCTTGCCAAGCATACACAGAGTTCTGACTTTGATGCCCAGGGCTGCATTAAACAAATCTGGATGTGCAGGCATGTAATCCCAGCACTAGAGACAGGATGATCAGAAGTTCAAGATCATACTTGGCTACATAGTGAGTTCATGGCAAGCCTGAGCTACAGGAGACTGTCTCAAAAAAAAAAAAAAAAAAGGAAAAAAAACAGAGATCCTTTAGCCAGCTGAGCCACCTGTGACCATGACATCACGTGCTGGTCCCTATGTCTCTATTCTGCTCAGGCCAGCCTGGCTGTACACCTGTGAGCTAGCCCTATCTGACCAACTCTTATCTGGACCACAGGGCGGATGCCTTGCCTACATTGTGCCCAGATCAGGATGGTGACACTTGGGTGACACAGAAGGACCATCAGCCTTCCATGTACTAACAATATGTTAAACACCTGCAATTTGCTGGTCACATACAAAGGCTACATTTGTGACATGCCAACAAGTCTTTTTTGAGACAGGCACTCACTATGTAGCCCTGCCTGGCTTGGAACTCACTATGTAGACTAGGCTGACCTCAGTCTCACAGAGATCCCCCTGCCTCTGCTTCCTTGTGTGCTGGGATTAAAGGTGTGGGTCACCACACCAAGGTACATTTTCACACACCACAGCAAATATCCACCTGCATTAAGACCCTCTCCACTCCCCTCTTCATAGCTGGTCTCCTTCCTCTTCTGTTTTCATGTCATATATTATAAAACAAAAAATTTCTTGAGCTGGAGAGATGGCTCAGTGGTTAAGAGCACTGGCTGTTCTTGTAGAGGATCCAGGTTCTATTCCCAGCACCCACCAGTTCCAGGGGATCCAACACCCTCTTCTGGCCTCTGAGGGCATTGCACACATATGTGCATACACAAACACAGACACACATATACATAAGACTTTTTGTTTGACACAAGATCTCACTGTGTTCCCAGGCTAGACTTGAATTTGAAATTTCTTACCTTCCTCTGTGTAGCTGTAATTATAGTGTACATTACCTTGCCTGACTTTGCTCACAGCTTTTCTTCAGGCCTGCCCTACACCATGAACATATAATCCACTCAGCCCTCAACCATCCCACAGGTGCATGCAGTTACCACAAGCACTTTACATTGTTTTGTCAGGGCCATGGCAGAATTTGAACTCAGACCTCTACCCCTAATCCTATGAGGCTTAGACAGGATGTCTCAACTTGGGCAAATATTTATTTTTAATTTATGTGTATGAGTGTTTTGCCTGCGTGTATGTAAGTACACCACGTGTATGCATTGCCCATGGAGGCTAGAAGGGGGTCGGATCCTCTGGAACTGGAGTTACAGATGGTTGTTAGCTGCCATGTGGTATTGGGAACTGAACCTGGGTCTTCTGTAAGAGTAGCCAGTGCTCTTAACTGCTGAGCAATCTCTTCAGCAACCCGCCTTTTTGATACAAAACCCAATGCAGCCCAGGCTAGCCTTGCCTAGCACTAGAGTGCTAGGATGGCAGGTGCCCACTCATAGACCCAGTATTTTAACTTCACAAACATTCTGTGCAGATATTGCAAATGGACCCTAGGAATGGAAGGGTGTGGATACTGGACATTTGACAACCATTGAGCTAGCCAGGAGTGGTGGTACACACCTGTGATCCCATCATTTATGAGATGGAGACAGGAAGATCAGGAGTTCAAGGTCCTCCTTAGCTACATAGTAAGTTCAAGTCCAGCCTGGTTTACATGACATGAGACTCTGTCTCCAAAAAGAAAGGAAGAAAGAAAGCAAAAGGAAAGAAAAAGAAAAAAGAAAACAAACCACTAAGGTGCTGGGACTGGGTTCAGTGGGTAGAGCACCTGCAAAGCCATGTATAAAGACCTGGGCTCCATCCCTAGCATCACATAAATTGGGCCTGGTGCAAGCCTTTCTTCCCAGCACTTAGGAGGTGGAGGCATGAAGACTGAAAGTTCAAGGCCATCTTCTGGTATACACTGAGTTTGAGGCCAGCCTGGGCTAAATAAGAGCATACCTTAAAAAAGAAAAAAAGCTGGGTGTTGTGGTGCACACCTTTAATCCCAGCACTCAGGGGGCACAGACAGGCAGATCAAGGCCAGTCTAGTCTACTTAGCGAATTCCAGGCCAACTGGGGCTACAGGGAGACCCACAATATGGCTAAAATACAACCACTACAGTAAAATACAGCCTATAGGGTACTCAGCGCTTTCCATCTGGCCACAGCTCTCATCCCAGCCCTCTGAGATGGGTCCCACAGCAGTTACAGAGAGGTCTAGCTGGTTGTCCAGGCCACACAGCCAGAATCCAGCTCACCTACAATTAAAATTCATCCTTTCTTTAATGCTCCCTCCTCTGGGAGGGCTGCAGGTCGCTACTGCGCATGCTAGGTAGGGTTCGCGGCTCCCGGCCTGAGGCGGGCGCCCCCTGGCGGTCATCTAGGGGCGTGGTCTGGCGCAGGGCCAGGCTGTAGTGACATCATGCGCTTGACTCACTTGGCCTGGCTCCGGGTCCGCTGCTGCTTGGCCATTTATAGAATCCACTCGGGCTCTGAAGTCACGGCGTAGGCACGACGGCGACGGCGGGGTGGGGAGCCCCGGATCGCCCGAGTGGGCGGCTATCCGTGGTCCGGCTCATTGCTGTGGTCCTGGGTCGCTGTCTTCGCTGGGCACATCCCCGTTTTTTGGTTTTTTTTGTTTGTTTTAATCTTTTTGAGACAGGGTCTCCCTGTAGCCCCAGCTGGCCTGGAACTCACTATGTAGACCAGGCTGGCCTTGAACTCACAGAGATCCACCTGTCTCTGCCTCCTGAGTGCTGGGATTGAAGGCCTGCGCCACCACGCCCGGCTTTTCTTTTTTCTTCTTTTCTTTTTTGGTGGAGCATCCTCATTCTTGACCATCAACCAAACACAGGGCCATAGGTGCGTCTGCCTAGCGCTTTCCAGGCTCCAGCATGTCTGTGCCTCAGTTTCCCATTTCTATGAGAAGAGTGGGTGCTTTCAAGAAACAAGGTTTCCTAGGTGGTGGCACACCTGTGGTCCCAGCACTCAAGAGGTGGAAGCAAGAGGATCAGGAGTTCAGTGTCAGCCTAGAATTACATAGGGACTTTAAGACCAGCCTGGTCAACATCAGATCCTGTCTCAAAAAAAAAAACAAAAAAAAAAAACCTAAGTAGCCTGGCATGGTGGGGCACGCCTTTAATCCCAGCACTCCGAAGGCAGATCTCTGTGAGTTCACGGCCCGCCTGGTCTACATAGTGAGTTCCAGGACAGCTGGGGTACAGGGAAACCCTGTCTTAAAAAACAAAACAAAACACAAAATTAAGTAATAATCCAGCACTTGGGAGGCAGAGGCAGGAAAATCTCTGAGATTGAGGCCAGCCTGGTCTATATAGCAAGTTCCAGGCCAGGCGGCCAGCTTGGGCTACAGGAAGACCCTGTCTCAAAAAGAAGGAGAGAGAGAGAGAGAGAGAGAGAGAGACTCGTGGTGGTGCAGGCCTTTAATCCCAGCACTTGGGAGGCAGAGGCATGTGGATCTCTGAGTTTGATGCCAGCCTGGTCTACATAGTGAGTTCCAGGCCAGCTGGGGCTACAGGGAGACCCGTCTCAAAAAGACCGAG